TGCTGCTCTCCTCTGGTTGAGCGTCCAAACGAGGAAGAATGTGCTGGTCCACATGATTGTAAAGTAGAGGATGAGGGGCACAAATGTTCGAAATGTGGGACCCAGATTGTCCAAGATGCGACGAGCTTGAGAGGCAAAGATGATGATGATGGTGTAAAGCAGCGCTACGAGGGATAGAGGACCAAAGCAGGGCAGGAATTTCTCTTGCAGAAACTCGCTTCCAAAGGAAAAGAGGATGATTAGGCGGGTTGCGCATCCTGCAAAGAGGGGTATGCCGAGGTAGATGAGCACAGCGATGGCCGTTTCGTCGTACCTGAGCGCGAAATCATCGACGCGGGAGATGATGCGGACGAACCAGACGCTGTAGGGAGCGTAGAGGATGATTTGTAGGATGCTGTTGAAGATGACCAACAAGGCGCACATGGTCGTGTCGCCCTTGGACAAGTCGCACCAGATCATGACCATGGCTATGCATCGCGCTATACCCACCATGATGATGCCTGTGCGATAGGTGGGCAGGTCGGGCAGGGTGCACCAGCTGAGAGCTAGCATGAGAAAAGGACCGACGATCCAATTGAGAAGCAATGAGAGCAATAATTGAGACCAAATGTTGCGCGTCTTGAACACGCCAGGTAGACGCTCGTATTGCACCTGCGCACAAGCAAAGCGGGGAGGGGGCATCGTTTGCATGTGAGCTCGAGCAGGAAACGGGCGAAATAAGCTGGCGAGCGATGGGAGCGGAGCATTAGACTGACCTTTGTGAGGATGGGCCACATCATGATGATGAGGCCCAACACCAATGGCGTCTGCACACCCTTGAGCGAACCAGCTCTGCTCAACATTTGCCCAACATCCTCCACATACACGCCGATGAGCACACCGATGATCATGGCGAGGATGATGAAGAGGGAGAGCAGCCTGTCCATCCAGCTCAACGAATGCCACACTAACGATGCTGCGTTGCGCCTCTGATGCTCGCACACGTCGTTATGGAGAGGAGGCGGATGCAGATGGAGATGCTTGCCGCAAGTGCAGGTGCTGCACTGCATCGTTGCGCGATGATGATGATGATGATGATCGGCATTGCCCTGCTTCTCTACGTCTGCATCGTGCATGCGCTTGCTA